ACTCAGGGCAACAGCCCCTAGGCGTCGTCGCTGGACCAAATAACTATCGTCATAAACGATAACCAAAAACAATAAGTGCGTACACACGATCAGTCCGCGACCCGGGGCAACAGTTCCGAGACGTCGTCGCTGGACCAAATAATTATCGTCATAAACGATAAACACAATAAGCGAACACATACGATTAGTCCGCGACCCGGGGCAACAGTTCCGAGGCGTCGTCGCTGGACCAAACAACCATCACATACGAGTAGTCCGCGACCCGGGGCAACAGTTCCGAGGCGTCGTCGCGGGCATACATCGCGAGTGCGAGACACAAAGATTTGTGGCATATTCTGAGACCGGACCAATAAACAATATATTCACAACCCAACATCACTTGTTATTGTTGTTACGCGAAAAGACAGCGCGAACACGAAACTGTTCGTGTTGATACTGAACATTTTGGTGCCTCCTGTGAGGTATGTGCCTCAATCCACGCAAGAAACGGGATCCAGCCTGAGAGCCGCCTCACATCTACTAAGAGCGGGTCCTCCAAGTCAGCCGAAGGAGGAACGTGTGCAATCGTACTCGACAGGCGTAAGAGTAAGTCATTCTTTCACACCATTTACATTCCGTCGCATGCCGAGATGGCGGACAAAATCAAATTCCTCGTTCAGAAACGAACTTCCCTGAAATCCCAAATAACCAATTTAGCCAATATTGTCGAAGGGGAGGAAATTGATAACGCGACGTTAAGGTTGCGAAACGAGCGTTTAACGCAATTATATCGGGCCTTCGAAGAGTATAACGATGAACTCGCGGTATTAGATCCTAACGCAAATCATCGGGTCGAGTTCGAGGGTATCCAGGAGCGATTTTATGCATTGGCGGGAAAAATCGAGGGTATTTTACGTCCGGGAAATGCGCCGTCGGGAGATACGTCCGAACCGAGCACCAGCGTATCAAACGAAGAAGTGCGGAGCGGTGACATCGTACCGCCGGTTGAGAAACGGCGGATTAAATTGCCCGAAACGCCGTTACCAAAGTTTGATGGTAGATTCGAGGGATGGTTATCATTCAAAAACGCGTTTTACAGTATGATAGGCTCGCGAACGGACCTTGCGGAAATAGACAAATTGCATTACCTTAGATCGGCGTTAACTGGCGAAGCCGCGAACAAGATTAGGATCTTCGAAATTGACGGAATTAATTATGCCAAGGCCTGGAGCTTATTAGAACGGTCATATGAGGTCAAGAGGATCTTGATATCGCGGCATCTCTCTCTGCTATTAAATTTGCCCGCGCTAGACAAAGAAACAGCGAACGGTTTGTCCAGACTCGCGGACGACGCACAGCAACACGTTGCGTCGCTAAACTCTTTGGGAATTTCGGTCGGACACGAGATGATCGTGCATTTGCTAGAGACCAAGCTACCAAGGATAACGGCGGAAAAATGGGAGGCGACTCTCGAAAGAGACGAGTTTCCGGAACTCGACCAGATGTACGAGTTCTTATACAAAACCGCGGTTTGCGTCTCGAGACGCGAGAGAGCGAAGGTAACCGACATGGAGGGAAGCAGGGGAGAACCATCGAGCAAAAGAAGACGAAGTCATCCCTCGAATCGAGCGTTTGTCGTGAGCGCGGCGCCTAATTGCATAGCCTGTAAAACGAAACGGCATCCCTTGTATTTATGCGACAAATTCAAACAGCTACCTATATCTAAACGTATCGAAACGGTGAGAAACGCGAAGGTTTGTTACAACTGCTTCCGCTCACATAGAGACAGCCCCTGCAAATTTTCGAACTGTACAATTTGCCAAAAGAAACATAACACTCTCTTGCATTTAGATAAACACCCGGTTACGAATCGAACTCCCACTTCTAATACCGTAGATACACAAACCGCATGACTAGCCGAGTCGATTAATACCGCAAGGGTAAATCGCGCTATAATGTCATATACACCCGCGCCACAGTTACTAGCGAGTGCCGTGGTATACATTCGAGACAGCGAGCGTAAGCCGATAAAATGCCGCGCCTTGTTAGATACTTGTGCCACAGCAAATTTTATTTCGGAATCTATTCTGAAGCGGTTGAATACGCTCGGGGAACGTTCGGGTAAGCAAAGGCGCGTTGTCAGTCGGCATGATCAATGACGTGAATACAGAGTCGAGGGGCATGGTACGGATCACTATGCAATCCATGCACGGTAATTACCGCAGGGATCTTACGTGTCTGGTGATTCCGGTTATCGCCGATTTAATTCCCTCAGAAGTCTTTCCGAGAGAAACGATCAAATTACCGTCAAACGTTAGATTGGCGGATCCGAGTTTCCACCTACCACGCGCGGTTGATTTGCTGATTGGTTCAGGGCTCACCTTATCTCTGTTCTCCGTCGGACAGATCAACTTGTCGCGTGAAGATCACGATCTGTATTTGCAGAAAACACGACTCGGATGGGTTGTGGTAGGCGGTGTACCGTCGCAAGTTTCTTCAAAACCGACGTGTTGCATGACGAATCTCGAGAATCAATTAAACAAATTTTGGGCAATTGAAGAAGTCAGGGAAGGTAAGATGAAATCGGACGAGCAAATCGATTGCGAAGCGCACTTCGAAGGGACGGTGTCTCGCGACGCCGACGGGCACCACAAGGTTCGCTTACCGTTTCGCAAATCAAACACGCGACTAGGGGAATCGCGGTCCATCGCGCTGAGACGTCTATTGTCGCTGGAGCGTAAACTCAGTTCAAACGCTGCGTTAAGAAAAGAGTACGCGCGAGTAATCGAGAAGTATTTGACCCTCAATCATACGTTAGCAATAGAGGGTCCTGATGACGACGGTTACTATCTGCCGCACCACGCGGTAATCAAAGAGGCGAGTAACACGACTAAGGTTCGAATGGTGTTCGACGCCTCGGCGAAGACAAATAGCGGAATGTCGTTGAGCGACGTGTTAATGGTAGGACCTACCATTCAAGACACGTTGTTCTCGCATTTAATCCGATTCCGCACATATAATTATGTCATCACGGCAGACATCGAAAAGATGTATCGCCAGGTGTTATTGCACGAAGATGATCGCCGTTATCAGAGATTCCTCCGACGCGTGGATGGTAGAGTTAAAACGTTTCAGCTTAACACGCTTACATTCGGTGTTTCGCCTTCTTCCTTCCTCGCGATTCGAGTTTTACAGAACTTGCGGAGGACGAACGTCGTACGTATCCTCGATCGGCCGAGATTCGTGCCACACATCTTTATGTAGATAATTTGTTATCCGGCGCTGATACGATTGTAGAGGCGCGCGCCGTCCGTAACGAAATAATCGCGTTACTGAAACGAGTGGTTTCTCCAGAAGGCAACGGGCATCCAACGACGAGCGCGTTATTAACAATTTAGCCTCCAATGCGTTGCGTACCAATCTCGTGTTAAACGTGGATCATTCCGTAAAGACGTTAGGTATAACACGGAATACGCGAGACGATCAAATGCATTATGCGGTGCGTCCGATCGAAATTACTCAAAGATTGACAAAACGAAACATATTATCGGAAATTGCAAAGATTTGACCCAATAGGATTACTCGGTCCGATTATTCTATACGCTAAAGGGCTGATGCAAGACATATGGCGTTCCGGTTTACAATGGGACGAATCTGTCCCACAAGACATATATACGGAGTGGAAGGAATTTGTTCGACAATTAGAATCAATAAATCGCTTTACCTTTGAACGTAAATTGCTAATAAACGACTATCACGACGTTCAAATACACGGATTCTGTGATGCCAGTAGTGTCGGCTACGGTGCATGCTTGTATGTTCGATCTAGCAGGGAAAATGAGACTACGATTGTCAGATTGGCATGCGCCAAATCAAGAGTCGCGCCGTTAAAACCTATTACTATTCCGCGTTTAGAACTCTGTGGTGCATTAATATTGGCGCAATTATATCGGGAAGCAAGCGCTATATTTAACGTTACGCCTAACCGAGTCATTTTCTGGTGCGATTCGACCATCGTTTTGCATTGAATGAAAACGCCGCCTCACCTCCTTAAGACGTTCGTAGCAAACCGAGTCACAGAAATTCGGAA